GGGTTTGGATGTGTTAATTATTTATTTGATAGGTTTAATCCTGGAGAAGGCAAACCCTGCCAGAATCCTGTAAATCAGGGCCACTCTTTTGCACACTCTTCCTGTTTCAGTGGTGGCTGTGACACTCGGCCATGGTGTCAGGGCTGTAGGTTGTGGGTGACACAGACAGAGGTGACAGGAGCAGGACACAACCAGGTAGAGAGACAGCTGGTGGGACTGGGGAGGGCATTTGTACCCCGGTGTTGTCTTACATATCAAGAATTCATATTATCATTTACAGTGCAAGCATTCCATATCACCAGAGCCTCATGCCTCCTCGATGTTTCTCATAGGCAGCTCCTCTAAGCTCTGACTGTTCCTGGTCCTCACAGCAGCCATCTGACTCCAGTTCCCACCAATCCACTCTTTTATAACACTGTTCTTATTTGCTACAGGTGTGGCCTGTTAACATCAGGCCTGCTCCTAATCTTTAGTAATTGGTTCAGCTGCAACTCTTTAGGGGATAAGATTACATTCTATACCACCTTCATTTACCCACACTGTATCCCCCTACACCCTGGGAGCTGCCAGTTCCATCTCAGATGAAGATATTTTGGATATGCAGACATTTTGGATATGCAGACCACCTGTGCTTATCAGTTTCCCTGGGGCAGGGTGGTGGTGAGAAACATTCCCTCATTTGCAAGTGGGAATTTGTTGTGGGACGATGAAGTGGTTGATCTCAGCCCAGCATTCCAACTCCAGGGCCCCCATTCCCTTCCAAGTTACCTCTGGCTGTGACTTTCTGGGTTGGATTTTAACTGCCCAGGATGTGAGAATTGCTGATATCATCCCCACCTCCGCAGACCTTCCCTTTGCCTCTCCCTGCTATCCCAGCCACCGCTAGAAGTGAATTCCTGCCCTCACCTCCCCCTTCATTCTGCAAAGTCGTTAACATGAAATTGCCAGGCAGAGAAGCTCCAGAGAGTTTAACGTGGCTACTTTATATTGCTGCTAGGAGTGTCTGGAATTGAAAATAAACCTGTGCTTGCAACTCCTGACCCTTTCATCATAAATCCAAACTTCCTTATGTGTCTGTCTTTGCTGCAGAGGATGACTGTATTTCTGGCTCTACAAAGGCCTGTGTGCAGCTGAGAGCCACAGCTGTGCAGGAGCTGGGTGCTGTTTATTTGGAGGGTTTTGCTTGCTGGCATTTTTTTGGCAGATGATTCCCCAGAGGAAATAACCCAAATATGTTCAATGAAAATAGTTTTCGTGTGGCTTGCTGGCCTTGTTTCTGGGGGAGGGTTGTCCACATGGCAAACCAGCAATGTTGTAATTGCTTCTCTGGCACCCAACCAGCAGCACACAGAGTTCTAGAATGGTTTGGGTTGCAAGTGACCTAAAGATCATCAAATTCCACCCCTGTCATGGGCAGGAACACCTTCACTTATCCCACCCTGGCCTTGGGCACTTCCAGGGATCCAGGGGCAGCCACAACTTCTCTGTTCCCCACCCTCATTATAACCAATTTCTTCTTTAAACCTAGTGTGACTTTACCTTCTTTAAAAAGATCTGCCCCCCTATTTCTGTGTAAGCCCTTCTTATAAGGATTCTCCTGTAAGTAATGCCAGGGGAAAAAAAGATGAAATAAATAGGCTTAAATTTAATTTTGTGTCAGTATGGGATTATCAGCCCCATTAAGGGTAGGTCTGAGTTCAGCTGGAGCCCAATCAGGTGCAGGAGGAACTACCCAGTGGCAATTAGATTAATGAAACCTCAACAGGTTGTAGACAAATCAGCCACAGGTGTTTGTGCTTAATGCTGTGATTTTGGGGGCTGTGTCCTCCCAGGCTCCTGCCCCTGGGGTTGGGAGGGTCTGGATGGAGTAGAAAGGCAGCCAGAGGATTGTGTGGGTCCTTCCTGGTCCCAAGTGCTTCAGCTGGAGGGGTTGGTTTTGCCTGTGCTCTGCTGGATTCATCTCATTTCACTGCTTGTCAGAATAATTTTCTCTGGTCTGGGATGGAGCTTTGCACCCTGCACCTTAGGTAAGATGTCTGCTGGCACTTTGAAGCTTTTCATCGTCTTGGTGGTGGAGAAAACTGTCTTGTTTTCCTTGGAAACTTTCCTTTCTCTCCCCTCTTTCTGCTGTTTGGGATTTTCCTGCTTTCAGCCTGACGTGATTCTTTCCAGCTTGTCAGGGTGAGCACTTAGGCAGTTTGGTTATACCCCTGAAATATAAATTTGTGCTCGTCTCTGAGCTTAATGGTTTCTGGGCAAATTGGGGCTGACTTGGAGACCAGGATGCTTGGATCTTACAAGATCCAAGAGTCTAATTGTCCACAGGACAATTCAGCTTGGAGGGACACCAAGGGACCACACAGTTGGGCCGATTGGTGATTTGAAATTTTGGGGCCGAGGGGATTTGAAACTTGAGCCCAATTATGGGTTGAAATTTTGAGGCCGATTATGGGTTGGAATTTGGGGCCGATTGGATCACCTGGAGTAGTTTTGTGGCCACCTGGCTCTGTTGGAAGGCGCCTTTCCAGTTTGGTTGGGTGGCTCCTTCTCTGGCACACCTCCTTTCCCTGCTGATTATGGATTTCCACGTCCTAAAGCTGGGTTGCAGATTTATCTTGGACTTGTTGCTGTCATTTTGGACTAGCAGCATCCTGCCTGCTGCTGCTGGAGGCTGCTGATCTGCTCCCTAATTGCTCTTTTAGCTCTGCTAAAAAGGGCAGTCCACAAACACTAATGACTCCTGCAGGCCAGAGCTCAGGCTAGCTGATCCCTCCTAATGGCCCTTTGAATTCCTCCTAGGTTTTATGTATTTATAAACACATTTAGGACGCATTATTCTTCTATTCAGCAAAACCATCTGTAATTATTGCCCGTAATTGCTGGGTGAGGATAAAATGAATCAACTATCAGGCTTTTACTGCTGGTGAACTCAAGCAGGGACCATCACTTTTTTTAGCTGTGTTTCCAGGAAGATGTGAGCGCAAAGAAAATTGTCATGGTCCTTTAGTTCTGATATATCAAAACTAGGCAACCTTCCTGTACACTTCATTATTGCTTCTCTAGGCCTTAGCTAAACACTTTAAGTGTTGAAATCTGTGAGTGGCCCCAGAGAAGTTAATAAAGTCCAAGTGCTCTGGCAGTTGTGTGCTGGGATATTTGGGGTTTTATTTGATTTATTCTGTGGAGATCTGTGACCTGTATTAGCTTCACCTGCCTTGATGGTGCCTGAAGGTAGAAGAGCTGCCTGTGCCACATTCCTGGAACTCCCTGAAGCCCAAGGAAACACCTTTAGGGACAAATAGACATGACATTAATTTAAGTGAAAGGGATCCCAGTGGAACATCCATGTGGTGAAAATGCTGCTGAGTTCAAATGCAGTGGGTGATGGAGGTCAGGCAGCAGGATTGATGGATAGGAGTTTTTCTCTGGTTTTTTGGAATTCATGGATGTCTCCAAAAAAAAAAAAAAAAAAGCTGAAAATTCCCCCGTGGTAGCTGTGGAAGCTTCCCTCCTCTCCAAAGAACTACAGGAAATTACGGAATCCCAGTTAAATCACAGAATGGTTTGGGTTGGAAGATGCCTTAAAGGAAGGAAAGATGGATGTTATTGTCCTTACAAACAACTCGATGGGTGAGGGGTCTTTAGGAGGAATGGGTGTTAATGTCTTTGAAATGGGCCTAAATGTCTGTACCAACCACAAAACATGGGAATTTGGGAATTTTAACTATGGTTTCAACTCCTCAGCTTAAGGGTTGGACAAATGTGTCCAGGTAAAGCCCTTGGCACTTCTGGGTAGTGGATCCCCTGAAGGCAGACAGCCAGAACTGCTGAGTTTTGGGGGAAATTATAGGTTCAAGGAGGGATATGTGGGAGGTGGATTGGGAAGGCTGCACCTTCCTGGTAACGGGGAAAGGAAGAGGGTGAGTTTAGGATAAAAGGAGGCTGTGTGCTCTGAAACCTCGAGAGTGAAACCCCATGGGGGTATGCCCCAGTGGGCTCTCTCTCCATTTATTCAAATAAAATTGCAGAACTCCTCTGTCTCTTTTATGGACACTGGCATTTCACAGAGTGTTTTTTTCCACACCATGGGCAGGGACACCTTCACCTATCCCAAGGGGCTCCAAGCCCTGTCTAACCGGGCCTTGGACACTTCCAGGAGCAGCCACAGCTTCTCTAGACCATGTGTGCCAGGGCCTCACCACCCTCACAGCCAACAATTTCTCCCCATCTAATGCTGCTCTCTGGCAGTTTGAAGCAATTTCCTCTTGTCCTGTTCCTCCATGCCTTGTCCCAAATTCTGCTCCAGCTCTCTTAGAGCCCCCTGAGGTACTGGAAAGGGCTTTAAGTTCATGATATTTAATTCTTACCACAGTCCCTTCTGCAGATTTGGCCTCCTGGGCTGACCAACTGACCATCTCTCTCTTGGATAATGCCTGGGCACTCCGTTACGAAGATGTAACATAAGCAACCTTGCTGAGTTTAAAATTAGGAGAGGAGTGGTTATTTAGGCTTGGTAGATGTGATTCTTAGTGTTGGTTCCAGAGGACAGGTCAGGGTCTATTTTATAATTTTATTTGCCAGTGCAGATTTAACTCAGTAGTTCTTACTCTGGATCTACAGGAATGGTGTACTTTTATTTTTTTTTTTTTTTTTTGACAGTGGGGATGTTTAAGACATTTTCAGCAGACTTTCACTTGATTGGTGAGTCTTGACTGGTAAAACTGACTGGTACAGCAGTAGGAAAAAGGCTTAATGTAATGTATCCTGCTGGGCTGTCATTCAACAGAACCAACTTTCCAGTTCTCCTTCTGGCTGTAACTTATTGTGTAACTTCAGAGAGGTTTTTTTTTCCTTTTTTCCACCTCTTTCTCCAGTCCTCCTTGATTTTCGTCAGCCTGCATAAATTACAGGCACGTTAAGCAACGGATGGATACTTTTCAAATGGCTGAAAAATTGGTGACTTCAGCTGTTTACCCACTTTTTTCTTTCTTCCTTTGCAGCTGTTAACAATTGATGACAATTTCTGTGGCCTGGATATGAATGCCCCCTTGGGAGTATCATCCATGGTGCGAGGGCTCCCCATTTTCACTGAGGATGGGGACAGGATGACCTCGGTGATTGCCTACGTCTACAAGAACCACTCCCTGGCTTTTGTGGGCACCAAGAGTGGGAAGCTCAAGAAGGTAAGACCTACGTGGTCCTCTAACTCAGATTTTCATGTTTTTATGGTGATTTAAGTGTTGCGTCGAGCACGAGCGCGGTCCTTGTCCTAAGGTGCTCCTATTTTGAGGATGAAAAATGGTTTGGTTGGCAAAGAAACTGTGTTTCACCCTCAAGGGATAAAGATTATCTGAGAAAGGATAAAATCCTCCTTCCAAGTGGTTATTCATCAGGAAATTAATGCTTCAGAAGTCAAACCACAGTCACAGACGGACGTGATGTGATTTGCATCCAACCGAATTTTTTGGTGTTCAGACCATCTCTAATTGAGTCATTGATCATGGGGTGTCTTTGCATGCTGGAGAAAATCAGACTGGGGCTGAAGTTTGGGAAACAGGATCCACGCTCTGGAGATCTTTCTTTAGGGCAGTGTGACTGGGTTGTGATCTCACCACGAGCCCAGCACGGGATCGGGGGCTGCCCTGCTGATGTCAGCCTGGGGTTTGTGCTGAAGGAAGAGGGTTTGCATCAAAGGAAAGCTGTGTCCTGAGCCATAATGAGCTTTGTGTTTATGGCTGATGCCACACAAATAGAATCAAGAATGTGTTTTTGTCCCTCTCTGGGCATTCTCACTGAAATGTGCCCATTGCATGGCTGGGGTTTGCCTTGTGAAACCCCCAGAGAGACTGGGGAGGTACCTGTGGCTTTCCCAGGGTAAGATGAGTTGTTGGAAGTGGGCTAATGATGGGCACTGGCTCCATTTCAGCCCCTCTGTGCCAGTCTGACAATGTTGGTCTGAATGTTCAGCCCAGGGGTGTTGTAAGCCATTGCCTGTGCAAGGAGATGGTGGCTTGGCCATGGCCATGGAGATGGAGGAGAAGCTGGGAACGGAGGCTGGGCAGAGCCTGGAGATGTTTTAGGATGTTGTTTCCTGTTTAAATCCCTTTTGTGAGTGAAGACTTCCAAGTTGGGGCAAATAAGGTGATGTGAAAAGGTGACCCACTGTGGCTTGTGGGGAGCGAAGGGAGTTGTTTGTCCATGGATGCTTAGGGATAGTCTGGAATCTCTGGTTTTATTCTCTACCTGTTTCTTCACTTGAAAAGCAAATCTGGGCTGTAAATTCAGATGGCATTTCCCCCATGCTGAGGGAGGAATGGGATCCTGCCCACTGGCAAATGTCTCTGGCTTTGCTCAAAGCAGAGGAAAGGCTGCTCGTGCTTTTGAAAAGAAAATATGGTAGTTTTTTTTATTATTATTCAGGCATGTGAAAAAGGAGCCAAATGGTTTTAAAAAATGGTCATAATAAAAATAATCTCCTCCCCTGGCTAATTAGCTTTTGCTTCCCTGTCATGTGTGATATCATAATAAACTGTTCAGTTCTCCAGTCAGTCTCTTGGAGGGAGGGAAATGGGACAGCTGAGATCTGAATGGTAAATATCAAAAAGACCTAAACACTTAATGACTGCTCTCCCTGCACTCACAAGCTTTTGGTTGGGGTTTTTTTTTGGCTTCAGGAGAAGAAAACTCAGCCACAGCTCTGTCTTTGCCTTTGCAGGTCGCGCTGCGGAGTCCAAGATCTGATTCCTTTTTAATAGGGGAAAATAGGAGAGAAATCTTACTGTGCTTTATGGAGTGTGGTAGGGAGCAGGCACAGCCTTATAGGGTAAAGAATGAGCAGAGGAGAGCAGAAGTGGCTGGAGTAACTTGAGAAAGGGAATAAAATGAAGCTTTTTCCTAACATGCTGAATATTCTACTTGCGGTAGTTCTCACTTTGGGTGAGTTGGAGCGGGGCTGGAGCCTTGGGCTGAGATTTGCTCAGGTAAATGAATTTCCACCAAAGAGGCAGAACACAAAGCAAAATGAGGCTCCCCTAACCTTGTGTGATTGTTTTGGACCAGCTGATCCAGACTCCTGGAAACCTTTAGGTCCAGCCCAATCCTTGCTGTGTCTTCTGCAGTCCCTGACTCTGCTCCTCACGTTGTGCCCCTCCAGTGCTCCTGAGGGTGTCTGACCCTGGGACAGCAACCTGTCACCTCCTCTGCGTGGTTTGGCACTCAGGACTTTCCCTTGATGCTCCTTGACCCCTGCAATGACCCTTTGGATGCTTTGGTTTCCACCTTGGCTCATCAATCAGGTGCAGCCAGGAAAATGCTGCATTGAGATTGCAGCTCCAGCATAATCCATTATTTCAGCATGAAGTTTGTTTTCTGTTCAAAAACACTGGTAAATTGGAGTAAGCCTTGCAGGATTAGATGAAACTCCTGGACAAATCCCAGGAGCTGGGATTTATTTTTTTTATTTTTTGTGCTGTTGGGTCCTACCAGGCGTGTCACACTCTGCTGCTTCTCCTGGTGCAGTGCAGCTCCTCGGTCAAGCTGCAGTGAAATCTTTGGGATGGCGTGAAAGAGGAGTTCTGAGATTATCCCCAAGATAGCAGGATTTATTCTGTGCTTGGAAGACTCGCTGCAAGTCATTACAAGATGGTTTTGGAGAAACTTTGCTGCTTTTTTTCCCCTGCAGTTTCAGTATTTTCCTCTCTGTGTGGTTTTTTTTTATGTATGAAAGTGGCAGACTGTGTATCAGATTTTGATTTATGTGATCCATGAATGCTCTGCAAAATACCCACAGTCATAAAGCAATATCTGTTAGTTGATAGACAAATGTCACATGTGTCAAAGGAATTTATCCAGTGGCACACACAACTGAAGGAAAATATTGTGCTTTATGGGAACATATCATTAAAATGAATACTAGCAGAGTATCAGGAGTCTGCCCATGTAACCAAGACAACAAAGAGGGAAAGAAAAGGAAAAACCAAGATAGAGATAGGGTAGGGAAAGTGTGAGTGAAACCGAATGACACGCTTGGCCCCAGCTATTTCACTGCCCCAGGCAAAATACATTTTGCAACCCCTGCTCATTCACAAAGCTCCCTGTGCAGTCCATCAGGAAGGCACAGAATAATGTGCTGGAGAAATAGTCCCTCCAATTCTGCTGCCTTGTCCATGGCACAGCCCTATTGTATTTACTGGGATCCCCAATGAAGAAAGGAATGATGAATCTGTCTCCATGTTCTCAGAAAGCTAATTTATGATTTTATGATACTATGTTATATTAAAGAATACATTACCAAACTATACTAAAGAATACAGAAAGGATACTTAAGGCAGAAAGTAAAAAATATAATAATGAAAACATTTGACTCTCTCCAGAGTCTTGACACAGCTTGGCCCTGATTGGCCAAAGAGTGAAAACAACTCACAGCAGAATCCAATGAAACAGTAACCTGCTGGCTAAACAATCTCCAAACACATTCCACATGAGCAAAACACAGGAGAAGCAAATGAGATAAAATTGTTTTCCTTTTCTCTGAGGCTTCTCAGTAGAAGAATCCTGGGTGAAGGGATTTTTTCAGAGAATGTGACACAGCTCAGCTCTGCAGAATGAAGAAATAAATAGGATAAAAATGAAGAGCTGTGGAAAAGGAAAAATTCTCCCTGTCCGTATCTAACACATAAAACCCACTGTCCTTGCATTAAAGGGTTCATGGGGGTTGTGGCTTCTTCAGGATGGAGAAGGGTGGCCCAGGGAGAAGTTCAGTCTTTTGCTCTGCCAGAAACTTCTGGTGTGTCTTCATGTCTCATTTTCTCTCCAGCAAATGGCAGGGAATGTTTTCCTTGCTCAAAGAGTGCTGGAGAAAGTTGTACTATAGGACACAAAGGAACACAAGCGCACACCGCTGCTCTCAAGGTGAAGAAAAAGGGAAGTTTATTTTCTGACTCCAACATTTATAGTTTTCCAAGATTGACAGTGGATTGGAGGGTGACAGTGCCACCTCTCCAATGACATTGGTCAAACCAACAGTCCATCAACTTTCACCTCCTCCATAAAGGAATGCAAAACAATGAGTTATTTACAGAAATTGTGTGAGAAAGTTCACTACAAGAATGTCAACATCAGAAGGCCTAGAAAATCTTAAAAAACCAGAGTGACAGAAAATGAATGTGTTAAGTGCTGTGAGGTGTGTGATCACCTCAAACAGCTTAATTCAACAGATCAGGTGGGATGGAAAACCACTCCTGGCCACTCATGTCATTGTTTAATGAGAAATATTTAATCTTGCTGTGCTTTGGTTAGAACCCAGTGTTTGATTTCCTCCTGTGCTGGCTGTCCCATGTGTCTGTACCGCTTCGGTGGTGTGTTCCCACAGTTTGGTGCAATCCAAGGATCCTGATGGGCTTCCTTGGCTGCAAACCCCTCTGCACCCTGAGGAATGCTTAAGGCAAAACCCATGGCTGAAATGCAGTTGGCAGTCCTGGGAGTTTTTAGTGATTTCTTCCAGGAGATGCAAAAAGAAACTTGAGTTCAGCAAATGTCTGGTTTATCTCCCTGCAAACAGCACAGGAGCTATTCCTGGGATTGTTCTCCCTACAAACCACTCTGCTGTGAAACAGCCAGGTGCCAAAATTCCCTGGCTTTTTATTTTTTCCTTTGCTCACTCTCTCATTCACACTCAGCTCTTCAGTGCAGGAGAAAAGCAGGGATGTACCCATGGGATTGATTTGGATTTCTTTCCTGGTGCCACTAATACCTGGCATCACTAAAAGAGCGTAGCAGTATTCCATATTCCTTGTATTCCCTCCCCAGGCATTTAATTTATGGGTCACTGCTTCTGTACAGATCATTTCCAGTCAAAGAAATACAACTTAGCTGCAATAATTCTGTGTGGAGGTGCAGGTGTAAAGGGAGAGTTGAGCTTACAAAAATGTCAGCCTGGGAGCAGCCCCAGAAATTGTATTTCTCACAAAAAAAAAAAAAAAAATCTGGTCTGTTTTGAAATGTTTATTTGATAATGGAGTAGTAGAAATTTTCATTTATTTGAAACTTCCCTGTAAGAAATTGTTTAGTTTCTTTTTATTCCATCCAAATATTTCACTCAAAGCCTTTTCTATGCTGAATTCCTTGCAGAGAGGGAACTTTAACTTAAAAACCAACACTTTCACTCTGTGGGCTGTATTTAATT